GGGTGTGTGGACAAACACAAAATAGGCGAGACACGCACAAAGAAGAAGACGAGACACGCGGCTCCCACATGGGTGCGCTTTAATGAGAAGAGGAAAACACAATAAGGGATGGGATGTGCGAGACACACAAGGGTAGGGGGTGAGAGAGAGGCCAAGAGGGCGAGACCTCGTGGACGCTCGCTTTTAATGGGGGGCGAAAGGTTATCTGGGAGGAATGACCCTCACCTGGGCGCGCCAGCACGCCAAGGTGTTCATACTCCAGGAGGAGTCTGGGAGCTGTAGTTTCCAAGGAACAACATTCTCTAAATTTCTCTAAATTTGTAATTTGCTAGTGAATTAGAAATTGTTTATGTATTTATTGCCTTAAATACTTATATAGTCATTGTATATATTTTTTTCTTGTATTATAACTTTCCTTTTATTTTGGACAAAAATGTGGAGGCCCAAAATTATGAGTCTATTTCCACCTTGACCATAGGTCAGAGAGTTGTAACTTATCTCTATTCCTTCAAGGATGTTGTCTGTTTCTACCTCAAGCAAAGGTTCCACCTAGATTTAGATCAGAGAGTTCTGCTCTCTCAACGTTATTGTTAGTAGGTGTGGATAATAGCCAGACCTTGTACTTCAGAAAATAGAAAAGTAGATATGTTTTTACCTCAAACAAAAGTCTAAGGATCCAACTAAGTTCCTGCTCCCTTAAGGAAAGAACAATGCATTCTACCCAGGGAGTGTTTTGCCTACAGAATGTTTTGGTCTAGGTTGTGAGTGTGATTTGTTTTATCCTGGCAAATTAATGTTTAACTAAGAATGTAGCCTGCAACCTTCAATTGGTGTGTTCACTTCCTTATATCATGCTAATACAGTCTTTTGTTTCCTTCCCCCTCTTGTGTTGGGGTATAAAAATGTACGGAAAATTAAGCATGGGCAGATTTCAGTATTCACTGGAACTTCCTCCTGATACTGTCCTATGTTTCTGTTTTATTGTTTTTACTCACGACTTCATGCCCTTTACTCTTCTAATCCCCAAGTCCTTGCCCTGGTAAGTGGTATTTTTGCCGAAACTGGTCTTTGACACAGAAAAAAGGGAAATGTGGTAATATCTTGTTTGTATTTCAACAAATAAAGCTTTCCTGAAGATAAGAGAGCGTAGCTAGCCACTAGTCAAGCACTGGATGTCTATACAGACAGACAGGAAGTGTATGGCTGGGTGAAGAGAGGAAAATGAGTTGAGAGAAGACATGAATTCAGCCCCTTTTCAGCAGAGGAGTTAGCAAGGTAAGGTTGTCTGTGGCTTACTCCTTTCTCTCTCTGATCTTTCAGCATTTTCCCTGATATCTGGCTCTGGGTTTTTATTAATATTATGAATTGGAGCTCTTGTAACAATAAAATTATCTCCCTCTCCAGTTAGAATGGTAATTTGACAGAGTTGAAAATGCTGTTCAGGATGTGAAGAAAAAGAGATTCTTGTTGGTTTCAATGGGAGGATAACTGTTATGCCACTATAAAAAGTGTGATACTTCTTCAGTCTCTTCCTCTGTGTCCTCCTTTTGGTGATGGGATTGTACACTGGAGTCCAGAACCCACTGGACCAAGGCACTCTCAGTCAGCTACAGCAACTGTCTTAACTACTTCTTCTTACTCATCCACGTCCTTCCCCAGTAGGATCACTTGCAAATCTGAAGCTTGTCATGAGGCTTTGGTTTTATATAAAAAAATAATAATTAAAAAGGGAAATCATTGGTTTTATAATTAAAATCTGTTCTTTGATTTTGGTCTCAATATGTTCTCTTCTGACACCATCACTTTCTATTAGATCAGCATAAATTTAGAATAAAAGACCATTTTTTCTAAACTTAGAAAGTCAATAGTAGTCAGCAAACTATGACAATGACACACATGATTTTTCCAAAATGAAAACAGGAAACCAAGGTTCTGCTTAGGCTTCCATGTTGCAATAATTTTTTAATTTATTATTAAGATAAAAGTCATACAAACAAAGATAAGAATTTAAGTCATTTAATATGTTTAACTCACTGTGTTTAATTTCAGGCATTTCCATGACATCAGAAGGGAACTCCAGATTTGTTGTTTTTTCAAACCTGTAGTGAACATTAAATATAGTTCTTGTTATGGGGCTTTCTTGATTTGAATAGTTCTTTTTGGTAGAATGACAAAATACATATGGCCCACTGTGTCCGGGTTATTTATGCCTTGCAGGAACGAAGTTTGTGTATTGGATATCCTTACTGAGGCCTCAGTTGCCATCGTTTTAACTGAGAGAATGACTCTCATTGGTCTGGAGTGTATAAAGCAAGCTAATTTGGCTGGTCAAGAAACTCCAATCACCCACCTGTCTCTGTTTTTTTTTCTGCTCTGCGATTCCAAGCAGGCACCACCAAGCATGTTTTTTGTTTTTGTTGTTTCTTTTGTTTGTTTTTCTGAGTCATAAGAACTCAAGTCCACTTCTCTGCCAGGCAAGCACTTTACTGACTGAGGTCCCTCTCCTCCCAGTCTCTACACTTGACTTCTTCAAAGAACACAATACTTTCTAGCTTCATCCACACTGGGACACCCATTGTGCCTTATTCTCTAAAGGCTTCACAGTATTCTGTGAATGTTTCTACACTGTGATTTTATGAGCCATGCTGCTATGAATACGCAGTTGTGTGATCCTGGTTGAACACATATTTACACTTTTCCTGGGGGAATAATCAGAGATGAAATAGTAACTTTTTTTTTCATTTTTAATTGCTGTCTCGGAACAACTTCATCTCATATACTTATTAAGAATTTGGTTGTCTGTATTTCCTATCAGGTTACACAGGTTCTGTAAATTTTCATCTTGAGTGTCTGCTGAGCACTTTTTTCCCATGCAAGAAAGCATTTTTGCTTGAGGTCAGCATTTAGAAGGCCAACTGCATTATTTTTGATATGGAAAATACCACATCAGCTGAACTCATTTGACATCTGATTGAAAATTGAAATCTGTAGTAAGCAAACATTACATGCCTTTGAAATTTAGTTAAGGAAACAGTATATAAATATATTCAAAAAGTATATGTATACATACATAATATATACATAATGTTATTTGGTCATACAAGGCAAATAGAAATGGATCAGTGGTTACTTTGATAGTTTGCATGGGTCAGTACAGCCTGATAGTTTTTATTTGTAAGTCCCAGAGTCTTGAACATCTCCAGAAATCACTTCATACTGGCACCTCTCCAGGCTTAAATTCCACGTCTTTCCATAGCCTCACAGATGGGCCTGACCTGGGGCAGAAAGAGAATGAGGAGATGACATGGACGCACATAAGGAACAAAGGCTGGGGTGGGGCAGTCCTGGTGCTCCAGAGTATCCCAGAAGCTTGTTGAGTTTGTTATATACAGTTGAACAAGAAGACAAAGTTATTTCAATTAACTGCGGGAGAAAAGATGATTGTTATGTACATATAAACCAGGAGGCCTTGTTTGCACACAACTTTGGATTAAGGGGACCCTTTTAGATAATCTTGGTAGTCTTCAGTCTGTTGACATCCAGAATGAGATAGCTATGGTAGAAATTTTCTGCACATTATCAAAACCCACACATTGATCAGAGGAAGGCTTTCCCATCCACCTCTGAGCATCTTCCCAGTTGTTTTGCCGTTAATCCCTGGATGCCATGGAGTCCTTGGCATGGCCATGCCCATGTTAACAATACAAATTCACTCAGGGATTTCTCTGCTTCTTAGATAAAATCATGATGGGCGAACGCTTTGTGACTTTTCATGCTGCTATGTAAAAAAAATTAGTAACGGTAACTAACTTAAGATGGACGTTTCCTTTTCACCTCCCTTCCAGGTGTGCAGAGCTTTGTGGCGTGCACAGCGTGATGAGAGGAGCACGAGACTGTTGATTATTTTGAATCAGCAGTTGGGAAGCAGAGAACTATGTACTTGTCTGCTCAGATGGCTTTCTCCTTCTTATTCAGTTCTGAACCCAGGCTATAGAATGGTCCACCCATATTTATGATGACCTTTCTACCTCCATTGTCTCAATCTAGAAATTTCCTCCACACACATGGCCAGAATTTTGTTTTCACTGTGATTTAAAATTCCATCAAGAACTTGGATTAATTATTTCAGACACAAAGTGAAGACAAAGCAGGCTGTGGCAGACAGGTATGGGAAGACTCACTTGAGGAATTTTGTTATAAAGAGGATAGGTAATGACTGAGACCTCAATGGTATAAAACAACCTGGACTGAAATCTTCTTTTGACTGCTTGGGCTCTTCTGAATGCCAAAATCAGAGTCCAGGAAAACCTGCAGAAATTACTGGTTTCTTGATAGCCCAACCTAGAAGTGTTCAGAATCATCACTTTTATTTTCTACTTGTAAAAGTTCTGTGAATCCCAGGACTGTACCATTGTGGGAGGAGCATTTGTCTGTTTTCCTGGGTTCTACTCACAGGACCCAATATAGAAGATGGAAGGGTGCACATCTCAGCACCTGGGAGGTGGACTGAAGGGACACCAGCCCCCCCAGAGCACGAGGCTCTGCCAGGCACTGCTTCTTTACCCGGTTCCCTCTGCCCTGCTAAAAGGTGCTATATTACTTTCCTAAAGCTAGCCACCAACGTCTATTCCCTCTTTTTGGCAATTTTCTCCTCTTGATACTGACTACCAAGGTTTAGCTATGAAAATATTGAAGTCCAGCAATTAAAACCCCCTTGTGGCTCATGTGATTAACATGTGACATTAAAATTAAACAACTCAGTCAGTCAGTGCTGGTTCACGCCTTTAATCCCAGTACTTGGGAGGCAGAGGCAGGCAGATCTCCGTGAGTTTGAAGCCAGTCTAGTCTATAAGAACTGGTTCCAGGACAGTCTGGATTGTTATACGGAGAGCTCTGTCTAGAACCCCCCCCCCCACATAATAATAAAATAAAACAACATAAATTAAGCAACACATCCTAACACAGAGTTTCCCTTTGCCATAATAAACCACCATTTGTCTAAAGCCCACATCTGTCTCCTCTTATCCAGAGGTTGTCCTTTGTGCCCGCCTCTCCCTGCCTGTACCAATACCCCTTCTTCCTTATTATCATCCATCTCCTGTCTTTGTCTCTTATTCTGTGTCTTCTATCCCTCTGGGACAAATAAATCTCCTCTGTTCTGAATGCTTTGTTTGAGGGTCTTAAGCTGATACTTTTCCTCTCACCGAGGAAAGAGGATCAGAAGTTTATGGTCATCTAAAGACATATGTTTACATTAAGGCCCATTTGTACTACATAAAACACTGCTTTAATAATATGAAAAATGAAGGATATTACAGAGCCATATTAATGACACAGAGATGTTGGTTGTAGAAGGAATAATAACCTAATGCATGTGACAGTATTTTAATATAGCATCACACACTAAGCACATCTGCCATAAGGCAATTGCTTTAAACTACGATAATAGTACAGTCTTATGGAATATATCACCTCTGATTCTGTGAACTGAGTACGAAATCACATTTGTATGAAGCATTTAAAAGGAATACTTTGTCTTCAGCATAAGTTACTACTGAATTAGGACATGGACAACAGATTGTATTGGATGTTTTTCTTTTTCTTCCAGAATAGAACCCCAAAAACTGATTTAAGAAAATGCATCTATTTAACAGCCCACTGTGAGCTGTGGTGCTTTGCTGAGGAGCAATTCCTTTAGAACAGAGTCTAGTAAAGAAGGAAGTGGTGCTTGTGTGTTGTGCTCTGCAACCACATGGCGGTAGGGAGGGTCAATTCCTCCTCTGTGAAATGTGGTTTTCTCTTCTCTGAAAGTTGATAAGACTATTTGAATTTGAGAAATTTGTTTCATTTCTGTGTTGTGCTTTTTTTGGATTATAAGTATTCACTTTAGTTTTAAAATTTATTTTTAAAATTATTCTTTGAGAATTTTATGTTTGTATATAAAGCAAGTATGTCCACATTCAAGTTCTTCTATTTACCCCTCCACCATTCACTCAGATTTCATACACCTAACACAGCCTCTTTCAACTTTCATGGCTTCTCTTTTAAAAATAACAGACTGAATCCAGTTAGGGCTTCTCACAAGTGCATGAACATGGGACCATCCACTAGAGTGTGGGTAACATACCAGTGGTGACGCTCACTCCAAAAATGAGTCTCTCTCTTCCAGCACCTGCCAACTGCAAATATCTCCTTTAAAAAAGCCATCATGCTTTTATTTCAGATGCTCAAAATGCCATCTTCTAACTGTGCCATGGCTACTGTATTCACAGATTTCACAATGAAGCTGTGATTACCTGCGCAACATTGTGTGCATTTTGGCATACTATGTAAAAAGATAGCTTGCCTTACTAAAACATTTAATGAGAAGTATTTAATGAAAACAGTATGTATGACTTTGGTTATGTGCAAGTATAAAAAATTTGCAAAAGGATGGTGAAGAACTCTGGGTTTGGCTATGTGTGAGAGGGTGGTAGGTGGGTGAGGGTAGGTGTTCTAATCTTGGTTTTATTGGTGTTAGAGGAAAGAATACTTAAATGTGGCAGGTTCATTAATTATGCTACATCATACTATGTGAAATGTCCACAAGGAAGGAGTGGATGGGAAAATGAACTTTGTATATTTTTCCTTAATTTTCTCTTTATATTGCTGGACATACCACTGGCTAAATAATGATGCAAGACAATGTGTCCAAGGGAACAATGATGCAGATCCCACAGGAAAGTGAAGAGCAGATTTTATTTCACAACAGCCTTAAAGGAGTTATGATATCCTTGTTACATTTGGAGATATGATTATACCACATCAAATTGTTTCTAGGCTGAATGTTATTTCCTTAGGATTGGAAATGAACTGGGATTGTGTTATAGTGCTATAATAGTGACAGGCTCAGCTGTTCAATGTGCTCCTCCAAGTCAAACAGTGGCCATCTCCATCAAATCAGCTGTGACTGCTGCGAGTGCACATCATGATCGAGTGTGTTGACTGTTGAGTTTCCACCATAGAAAAAATGGTGGGGATGACCAATGGTTCTCTCTGCTCCCCCAGCCATTTTTATGCAGTTATGCCCAAATTGCTCAGGGCCTTGGAGTCTATGGAGATACAAGAGTATATAGGCTGGGCAAAATTAACTGAACAGCTCACCCTAAGCAGTTATGGGGAATTCAGCTTCCATGAAAGTAAAGAATTTATAGTGCAGTTACTCTGGAGCCAGCCTCACTCCTGCAAGTAAACCTTACTTGTGCTTTAAAAGCACAATAAACTCATCAGAGCCTCAGAGTGAATGTATTTTGATTTGTTGTTGGGACCTTATAAGGGGTGGGTAGAAGGTTTCTTTTTCCACAACAGGCTGATTCTCTGTCAAGTAAGATACTATATAGATTGTACAGAAAGGTCATCTACAGAATATTCTATCTGATTGCATCTTGACTTGTTGTTTCTTCATGAGCTGTAATTGTTCTTCGTGAGCATTGCAGAAGCTTTACATTTGAATTCTAAAAGACACAACTGAATGACCTTACTAGTTACCATCCAATACAGAAAAGCTGTCCAGAGTGCATGGCTCTACATCATTACCTCCGGGGTTATAGGTTTCTGCTGTGTTCACAGAGAAAGTCAAATAGTACCATGCCCAACAGCATGTATGTCAAGAAGATCAATTAGCCTGAGCTATTTCTAAAATTTCTTGTCACTACTCACATTAGACAACAATATCAGTGTCTGTATACTCTAACAAATAAAGAGATAAATCGTGGGAGGATCTGCAGTGACCTTTAATCAGTTGTGAAGAAGAATAAAACGGTGACACTGGCAGGGAAATGGATGACCAGAATATCATCACACTGTGGTAAATAATATCACACATTTCCTCTCAAATGTGTAGTCACTCTATCAATAACCTATCAATGTAGCCATCCATCCATCTAACATTTATCATTTTTGCACCATCCTTATACCTATATGGCATTAAAATAGAAAAAGGAATATTTTGAGAAAAAGAAAACTAACAGTAATACATGGGTGTAAGTAAGAAGAATAAAAGCATAAATATGAGAAAATACCTGAAGCACATATTTACAGTTGCTGTCATGAAACCCATCATTGTATATGATGAATATATGCAAAACTATAACATTTTCTTTAAATCATAATATTGCTTATTGGCTAGATATTTGTTATAATGAGACCAACTTGTCTACTCTGGAGTATTCTCTTGTGCATTTATGGGCATATAGTGGGCCATCAAAAAGATTATATATTTAACATGACTCCACTCACACCTACGGTAGCTGGTAGCCTGGAAACCAGAATGAAACTTTTTTTCTAGAAAGAGTTGATTCTTTTCCACATGACCACTAACATGAGATTATTTTGTAGACCACGTTAATCGCTGTTTCCTTTTCAAAAGCTAACAACCTGACAAAGCTTTATGTCCACATCTGAAAAAACACAAAGATAGAAAACCTGTGTATTCATTTCTGCAGACATCTCTGGAATACAACACTGAGCTTTCGTCATACATGATTCTCAGAATTTTAGGAATTTCTCTTTGTTTGGGACATTTCATTGTTGTATTCAGAAGCTTTTATTTAAATAACCCTGACTATGACAGGAGCAAATGCTTCTTTGTTTGGATTCTTATGTGGAGTATTTAAATACTATTGATAGACCAATTTATAAAACTGTTTCGAGGCAACTGTTTAAATCTGTCATTACATAAACTTCCTCATTTACTAAAATAAGTGGAGACTAAGAAATGAAAGAGTTAATGTCAGGGCAAATGATGTTAATGTTTTGATTACTATGTGAGACTAGAGGTAAGTTACAAGATGTATATTTTGATTTACCAGAATAAATGCTACTTTCTGGAATATAGTAGAATTTAACAAGAATTTCCTAACATAAACAAGACACAGCGTCAGAGCACCATGCTAAACACCAGTCAAGACTCTTCCTGGGAGAGGAGGTCAGCATAATTGCATCGACTGGGGCTTTCTTAGTGTTCCTGAGTAAGCAGAAATATACAAGTATTTCCAGTAAGTGGCGAACTGATAAGGGTTCCATGGGGAGGATGTGGTGAGAGATAAGAAATGCTGATTGTTATGGATTTATTAAAAATGCTGCAGGGTCCCTGGCGGCAGTAGGCAGCAGAAATGCTGTAGGTCCCCAAGCGGTGATGGTGGGCTATGTGGTGGCAGGTAGCGGGCCCTGGGAGCAGCCAGTCCCAGGCAGAGATGGCTGCCGTCCTGAGTGGTGGCTGGTTCCAGGCAGGGTGATACATGGTGGGCAGGTAAGAGACAGAGACATGGATAGGCACAACTGCAGAGTGAGGTCAAATATTTATTTAGAGGGTTATGGTGGGGAAGGAAAAGGAGAGGAGGGAGAGAGACAGAGACAGAGAGAGAGAGAGAGAGAGAGAGAGAGAGAGAGAGAGAGAGAGAGAGAGAGAGAAGGGAGGAAGCAAAGGAGTAGGGAGAGAGGGACCAGAAGAGAGAGAGAGCTCAGGTCGGAAGCTAAAAATCAGCCTGCCTCAGCAGATGGGGGAGGGAGTGGGCGTGGCTTGTCTCTTAAAGAGACAGAACAATCATTACACTGATTCCTTCCCATTCTACTATCTTTAAATGTTGTTGAAAAACATATAACTACAATCATCAACACAATAGAGATTTGTGGCTTTTGTGGTTGCATTCCTCCTATATTCCTAGGGAATGGACTAGTTATGTTCACAGTAAGAATTAAGTGGGAATTGTAGTTGTGGCTCAGTTGCACATCACTTGCTGAGCATATGTGACACACAGCAGTCAGTACTTAGCACTTCCAAAAGTGGGGGTGCATATAAAATTAAGAATTCACCTAGAGATGCCTCTTCGAAGTTGAATGTGCAACTCTAGGAGCTGACGCCATGCAGCCTGCAAACAGCCACCATTTGAGAAGTCATTTCCAATGCACTTGAATGTGACCCGCCCTAGGCATTGCATTATCTATCTTACTCTGGTGAAAGGAGAACTAATTAGAATACATTAAGCAAACTCCTCAGCAAAATGTTCAGTCTCCTCATCTGACCTCAAGATTCCTTGAGAAAAGGGAGAACAAGATAAGAAGTGATGCCCTTCCTCTTTCGACAGTGCTGAGAATGTCCCAAACTCCGTGAGAAACAAAGATTCGCCATCTCTCTGGTAAGTAGTTTCTGGATTAACAACTGGCCATAGAAAATAGGAAAAATTTTATTGTGATTTAGAATCAGGAAAATCTATTTTAATTGGAAAGTTTTGCAAGGCGACCCTCCTCGCCACCCACTTTATTTCTTGAAGGGTAGGGTGTGGGCATTACTTCATCTCAAGTTCATTTTGCACATTTCTTGGGCAAGGACTTTGTGTATTTCTACGGTAGGAATGAACCAGCAGGGCTGATTAGAGCACTTACTTTTTGTGAGTAATGGTGTGTGAAGAAGCTTAAAGTGAGCCATATGATAAATCTTGTTTTCTATTTTTGAAATTATAATTACATAATTTCTACCTTCACTTTCCTCTCTCTGATCCTTATGGTATACTCTTCCTTGCTCTATTTTCAATTTAAGGCTTCTCTATTAATTGTTGTTAAATTCATATGTGCATATATACCTTCTCAGCCTGTATAATGTTACTGGGATGCATATTTTCGGGGCTGATCATTTGATATTAGGTAATCAGTTGGTGTGTTTTCCCTAGAGAAGACAATTTCTCCCACGCTTAGCATTCATTAGACACCAATAGTGCTTGGTATGTGGCTGAGGCCCCGTGGTCTTTCCTCCAGACTTTAACATGTCTATTGTTATCCTTTTCCAGCTTAAGTTTAGACAGTCATGGTGGTGAGCCTTTCTGGGTGTAGCTTCTGGCATCACTAGAAGAGCCAGTCTCACAGCACATTAGCTGACCCTCTGAATCTTCTTCCCCGCTTCCTCAGTGATCCTCTAGCCTGAGGTGTGGGAGGGGTTTGGAGATATATCCTTTGGAACTGGGCTCCCCAAATCTTCATTTTAATGAGTTATGTTTTTCTGTAGTCATCTTCACTTATTGCAAAAATCATTCCCTTGATGAGGGGTAAGGACTATACTTATCTGTGGGTATAAGGACAAATATCTACAATTTGTTTAGCAATTATTTTTCTTTAGTAAAGTGGTGAATATAAGTTCTCATACAAGATCCATGACTTAACTAACCCTAGGTAGACTTCCAGTACCAGGCATGATTTCCCTTCTGTTGAGTGGGTCCTTAAGTCTAATTAAAGAGCTGGTAGAAGTAACTCCAAAGTATTGCCACTACTCCACCAGAAAGGTTATCATGACAGGCTGATAACTGTTGTGGATAATCGGTGTCATAGCTGGGTATGACTGTTGGTGCCTTCCTATCTTGGGAGCTTTCATAGTGCCTTATGGGACCATGACAGCTGCACTTCAGGGAGGTTGCATTAAGATCAATTACCAGGATTTTTCTGAGCTTGTTCTCTGAAGAGCATTGTACCTCAGTAGGAATTTGCCTTTCTCCTCTGGGGAGCAATCAAGAGAAATCAGTAATAGTCTGAATGTTTTAAAGTCTTGTTGGACAATCCTGACCAAATACTTTAAAAAGATGGCTTCTCATGACTGGCAATTGTGGTGATTCTTCTGCCAGCTTTAAAGTAGGCAGGTAAAAATCAATCCATGAAGAGACAAGAGTGAAACTCGGCTCAGCCCAATTTTATTGTAACCGATGCTAGACCAGGACTTCTAGAGTCTGGCCCAGATCATTTTACTTTAGCCGTATTACGTTCAGCACAATTTTGAAAAAGCTATTCAGATTTCAATGAACTCAGTCCCTAATGCACAATTTAAAACATGTTTACACTGAGATTCCTCACAGAGCACACGTGGCTCCGTTCACAAGAATGTCCACGACTCAGGGTCTGGGGAGTCTGACTGAGTGAACATAACACCTGTGTGGCAGGATTGGCCTGGCCAGAGATAACACAGGAAGTACTCAGGCTGTTATAAATCACAAGTGACCTCACTCATAAACATGGGTCTTATGGTCTAAAAGCAATGCTCAAATTAGGAAAAAGATCTTGGAAAGTAAAAGCATAAATTCGGGGAGATAAGGCGTATCATGTTTCACCAGAAAGCAAAGGATCACCATGTTGTAAAGGACATCATTCCTCCTGTCCTGGGAAGAGCAGTTAGTACCTCAGGTAAGCTCTTTGTTTAACTTTCCTGGGTTCTCCAGTGTTTATCTGTGTGCACAAGGCTCTTTGCTCTTTATAGGTGTTGAGAATATTCTGGGTCTCCTCTACTTTTTATCATTATTAGCACAGATGGGACATTTTCATATATATATATATATACATACATACATAATTATATACAAACTTACATGTTTAGGTAGGATTTTATCCCTTTTCCTCCTTCTATATTTATAACCATTACCCCTTCCTAATTAGAAACCAGCCTCCATCTTGCTCCTTGTCTGGTAAGGGAAGATTTGAGCCCTGTTCTTCCCTTCTCCATTGCTCTCCAGCAATGATGGCTTTTGAATTTCTTGATTTCTGCCATTACCTCTGAAGATTTGGAGGTAGGAGCCTTCAGCGATAGTGAGCATGGGAGGTTTCTCTTTTTGGGTGTGGGTTATTTCTTTATGATCATTTATGATCTTTTCTAGTTCCATTCTTTATATACAAACTCCATTTTTTATTTTTCTTTATATCTGAATAATATTCCACAGTATGTATGTATCACATTTTCATTATCCATTTGTTAATTGAAAGATATTTAGCTTATTGCTATTTCCTAGCTATTGTGACTAAAGAAGCAACGAACAGAGCTGAGCAAGTATCTTTGTTGTCAGACGCCAAGTTCTTTAGACAAATGTCAAAATGTGGTGTAACTGGGTTGTGTGGTAGATTTATTTTTAGCTTTTTGAGAGTACTTGATACTGATTTCCATAATGTTTGCACCAGTTTAGAATATGCACTGGCTGGTTTTCTGGGTCAACTAGACCCAAGTTAGGATCATCAGAGTGGAAGGAGCCTCAGTTGAGGAGAGCCTCCAAAAGATTCAGCTGTAAGGCATTTTCTCAATTAGCAACTTATGGGGAGGGCACAGTCCATTGTGGGTGGTGCCATGCTGGGGCTGCTGTGCCTGGGTTCTAGAAAAAGGCAATCTCGGCAAGCCAGGTAAAGCAAGTCTGTAAGCTGCCCCCTTCATGAACACTACATCAGCTCCTGCCTCCAGAATCCGGCCCTTCCTGAGTTCCTGTTCTGACTGCCTTCAGTAATGAACAGCAATGTTGAGGTGTAAGCCTAATAAACCCTTTCCTCCGCGATTTGCATTATGGTCATGGTGCTTTCTCGTGGTGCAAGAGAAACCATAACTAAGAGAGAATCCTACCAATAGTGAATGAGGTTCTATTTTCCTTAGGTCCCTCACAGCATTTTCTGTCTGCTGCTTTGTTGATCTTTGGCATTCTGATCGGAGTAAGAAGAAACCTCACAGTTACTTAGATTTGCATTTTCGTAATTGTTGAGGACAATGAATAGTTTTAAAAGGCATTTCCTAGCCATTTTTCCCTAATACTTAGAATTATTTGTTCAGGTCCCAGGCCCAGTTTTTGAGAGGGCCATTTTTCTTTGTGTTTGTTTCTTGTGTGTTGAGTTCTTTATATATTCTGGATATTGATCCTCTATTAGATGACTAGCTGGCAAAGAGTTTCTCAAACATTGAGTACTTCTTGACTCAGTGACTGTTTCTCTATCTGTGCAGCTTTTGAGTTTTTTTGAGTCCTACTTGGGAATTGCTGGCCTTAATTCTTGGCCAAATCGAGTCCTACACAGAAACTTCCTTTACCTATATCATGTAGGATACTATGCTTTATTTTAGCCATTTAATGGTTCATATTTTGGCCTTTAATTCATTTGGAATTAGTTTTTGCATGTGGATACTCAGTTTTTCAAGCACCATTTCTTGAAGATGCTTTCTTTTCTCCAGGTTGTATTTTTTCTGTTTTGTTTGGCATGTTTGTCAAATATTAAGAGGATGAAATTAGTTATACTTATGTTTGGGTTCCCCTGCCACTGGTCTACATATCAATTCTTGGAACTAGTACCATATTGCTCTAATTGCTATTGCTCCATGGAAAGGCTTAAGATCTGAAATAATCCCTCTAGGGTTGTCGTTCTTTTCTGCTCAGGATTGTTTTGGCTATTGCGGATCTTTGGTGATTCCATATGAATTTTAAGGTAGGCTTTGCTATACCTGTGGAGAATGAAATGGGATTTTAAAATTGGGATTGAAATGAGTCTGTAAATATCTTTTGTAGAATGTCATTTTTAATGATGTTAATTCTATAAATATATTAGCATGGGATGTCTTCACATTTTATAGTGTCTTTTCACATCTTTTTTCAAAGGTTTAAAATTTTCATTGTAGAGGTCCTTCACTTCTTTTATTAGGTTTGTTCCTAGATATTTTATTTTCTTTGAGGCTATTGTGGTTAGGCATGTGTCTTTGATCCCCTTCTCTATATGTCTGTTGGTAGTGTATAAAAAAAGTTACTGATATGTACAAGTTGTTTCTCTATCCTGCCACATTACTAAATTTGTTTATTGTTTATAGAAGTCTTCTGGTGAAATTTTTGGGATGTCTAATGTATAATAATATCTCATCTGCAAACAGGGATCGTTTGATATCTTTCCCAATTTGTATCCTTTTAATTTCCTTCCCTTGCCTTTATGCACCAGCTATTACTTCAAGCACGCTATTGAAAAGGAATGGGGATGCTCACCTCTGTCTTATTTCTGACGTCGGTGTGATTGCTTTAAGCTTTTCTCCACTTGATGATGTTAGCTGTTGATTTCTCAATATATCTCTTAATATATTGAATCCTATAGTCTTTAAGACATTATGAAGGCATATTGAATTTTGTCAAATGCCTTTTTTTCTAGAACTTTTGAGACAATTATGTGATTTTTGTCTTTGGTTTCATTTGTGTTGTTTATTACATTTATTTACTTGCATGAGTTTATTAATTCCTGCATGTCAAGGGATAAAGTTGACTTTGTCATGTGTAAACAGAGACTACACATTCATTTCTGGGTCATTCAGACTCAAATAATAACACAGAAAATATATTGATTACAATACTGTTTGGCCAGTGGCTCAGGCATATTTCTAGCTAACTTTTTCATCTTAAATTAACCCATTTCTGTTAATCTGTTTATTGCCACAAGACTGTGATTTACTGGTAAGGTTCTGGTGTCTTTTGGCAGCACATAACATTTCCCTGACTCCAATTTCTTTCCTCCTCTCTCTCTCTTGAATTTCTCGCTTTGCTATATTTTCTGCTTCCATAGGCCAAAACAACTTCTTTATTAACCAATGGTAATAAAATATATTCACAAGAATACATAGGGGAATCTTGCATCAGTCAGTCATGGTGGATATTCTTCCATTTGCAAGTATTTTAATGAATACTTTGAATTCATTAAATTGAATGAATATTAACAGTATTGAACTGTAAATTTTTTTTGTTGTGCCTTTACCTGGTTAGAATTAACAATGGAATAAAATTGAATTGCTGGATTAAGTTTTGGAGTGCACCTGATGTTTCTCCTCCTCCTCCTCCTCCTCCTCCTCCTCCTCCTCCTCCTCCTCCTCCTCCTCCTTCTCCTCCTCCTCTTCCTTCTCCTCCTCCTCCTCTTCTTCCTCTTCCTTTTTCTCTCCTTCTCCTTCTTCCCCTCCCTCCTCTTCCTCCTCCTTCTCTTCCTCTTTCTCCTTTTCTTCCATTCTTTCTTCTTTGTCTTCTGCTAATGTTAAGAAGGCCTGCCTGTAACTCTATTTTTGAAAATGTGGTAGAATTGTGCTATTAATACATATTTCTATGGACACTGTATTTTTTAAGCTGGAAGGGTAATTACTCTTTCAATTTCCTTGTTTGTCTTTGTTATATTTACTTTTTTCCCATTTATTCTTGGTTTAATTTTGATGGGTTAAGTCCAAAATTAGTCTATTTTTCTTGGGTTCTCCAATTTGCTGGAATCCAGTAATTTAATGTAGTCCCTTAAAATATTCTGAATTTCACTGGTATATGTTGTAATTTTTCACTGCTTATTTCTGATTCTGTTAATATGGGCCCTTTCCATTTTTCTTTTGGTCACTTAAGCCCAGGGTCTTTTATTCTTACTTGTCTTCTAAAAGAACCATCTCTTAAATACTTTGATTCTTTTGTTTGTTTCTGATTCATTGATTTCTGTTCTTGTGTCTTATTTCTTGCTTCAACTGGATTTTTTATTTGTTTTGTTCTTGTTTTTACAGATTTTGAATTACAACATTAAGTCATTTGAACTCTTTCTCTTTTTTTTTTTGCTTTTGTTTATTTGCATGTTTGTTTTTCAAGACAGGATCTCTTTGTGTAACAGCTCTGGCTGTGGAACTCATGGATATCCACTTGCCTCTGCCTTCTGAGTGCTGAGATTAAAAGTTCCCCCACCACCTGGGTCTTTCTAATGTTGTAATGTAAGCTCTTACAGCTATAAATTTCCCTTGTAGGATACAATTCTGTGTTCCAGAGGTTTTATTGCATTGTGTTTTTATTTTCATTTAATTACAGGAAATTTTTATTTCTTTCTTGACTTTTTTTTTAACCCATTCATTATTCAATAATTAGTTGTTTAGTATCCTGAAGTTTGTACATGTAAGATTTATTTGCTATCAATTTTAAGATTTGTTGCATTGTGGTTTGATAAGTTACATGAAATTATTTCAAACTTTTTGACTCTGTAAAGATTTTTTTTGTGTGTGCTACTGAGTGTGGTCTATTTTAAAGAAGCTTCTTGAGCTGTTGCGAGGAAGGTGGATCCATTGGTGTTTTAAGGAATATCCTATAGATAGCTGTTATCAATTTGATATTTGATATCAATTAATTTTTATGTTTTTCTGTTTACTTTTTGTTTAGATGACCTATCTGTTGAAGAAAGTGTGGTATTGAAATAGCCTACTATTATTGGATTGATGTTAGCAAGTGTCTTTAAATTCAGTGGTAGATTTGTCATGAAATTGGGTACCGCAGAGTTCAATACAAATATGTTTAAGATAATATCTTTTTGGATAACTGTTTTCTTCAATAGAAAGAAGTGTCCCTTTTTATGTCTTTGAATTAGGTTTAGTTTGAACTCTATTTTTTTTAACTCTATTTTAT